CCCCCATTGCGCCCCAGCCCCTCTCACCGGGGACCAGCAGCGTGGAGGGGGCCCTGGCCAGGGGGTCCAGCAGAGAGTTGAGGGGGGCCCCGTCCCGCAGCCAGAGCAGCCGCACGGGTTCGGGGGGGCCCCGGGCACTGCAGCTGAGGTTAAAGGGGGTGTCGACCCCCACGTCCAGGTCCTGCGGCTCCTCCAAGAAGAAGGGCAGCCCTGGGGAGGGAGGGTGACAGTTAAGGGGGTGCCAGGGACCCTCATGGGCGCCCCCCCACCCGTGGGTGCTACCGCTCACCCGCCAACTCCAGGTGAGCCTCGGTGGACAGGAGCTGCTCCCCGCCGGCACGTGCCCAGCACTGGTAGCGCCCAGCGTCCGAAAGTTGCACGGCCGGGATGCTGTGGGACACCGCACCATCGGGCACCGTGCGGCACCGCACAGGGCGACACGGCATCATACGGTGCGACATGGTACGGGGCAACACGGCACGGCACGGTGCAACACGGCACGGCAAGGGGCAACACGGCACGGTGCAACACGGCAAGGGGCAACACGGAATGGTCTGGCATGGGGCAACACGGCACTGTATGGTGTGACGCAGCATGGGGCAAAATGGCACGGCACTGTGTGACATGGTATGGCATGGGGCAACACGGCATGGTGTGGCACAGCACTGGGCGACATGGCACGGCACAACAGGGCCTAGGGCAAAGCAGCATGATCTGGCACGGGGCAACACGGTACGGCACGGGACAACACGGCACCATACAGAGCGACATGGCACAGGGCAACACAGGATGGCATGGTGTGACATGGTACAGCAAGGGCCAACATGGCATGGTCTGGCATGGAGCAACACGGTATGGCACAGGGCAACACGGCATGGCATGGTGTGACATGGTACGGCATGGGGCAACACAGCATGGCATGGCGTGGCATGGGGCGACATGGCACGGGACAACGGGGCCTAGGGCAACATGGCATGGTACAGCACGGCGTGCCACAGCACCAAGCAACAGCATGGCATGGCACAACACGTCATGGGATGACACGGTGCGTCACGACGCAACATGGCGCGGCACAGCGTGACACGGCACAGGGCAACACGGCGTGGCATTATGCAGCCCGACACGGCGCAACGCGGCACGGTGCAACACGGCATGGCATGGGGCAACACGGCACGGTGAATTACGGTGCCGGCTGTGCTGCCAGCGCAGTGTGGCCCACCTGAGCTGGCTGGTGGCCAGCCAGACGTCCTCGCTGAGCGGCACCTGGGCCTGGTCGCTGTCGGCCAGCTCCAGTGGGTGCCCATCTCGCTGCCAGCCCATTTCGGGGGGCTCGCCAGCCCCCCGCACCCTGCACCGTAGCCGTACCGTCTTCCCCAGTGAGGAGGTGACGTTGGAGGGGTTTTCCAGGAAGGACAGGGCTGGGGGGGGACGGGACATGGGGGGGGCCTCAGTGGGGGTCCCCTGGGACCCCTACC